TTTCTCATCATGTATTAACATTATCCTTAATAGAGGCTTATGGTTTATTCGAGATAAACCTCTTATCTTATAATCCTTATCTCATCAAATTATCCTAGACACTATAGATTTTTCGACGGGCCTCCTTTAGGTGAAGGTAAAAAAGCTCCATCTAAGCATGATGACTTCTCAAAATTAAGATCAATTCCATGTTTGTTGCGGAAGTTAGCAAAAAGTTGGTTTTCAAACTCTTCTCATGGTAACTTTCATTGTAGACTTTCTTGTAGAATTTTGTCATAAAAGCATGAAAATGTCCACTAGCTATCAGTTAAGATTAACATCATTTTAGATTTACGTTACTAATAAAATTTTGAATTATTTTCCTAGCTTTTTTTTACTCTTATGAAAAAGGTTGTAAGATGAAAAATTAAATATTCTTCTTATTTCTTTTTTGATGAAAGAAAAGAAAAAATGCAAAAATTTCATTAAAAAGTAAAGTAAATTATTTTTTAAATTTTTATCTTAAAATGTTAATATTTATCATCTTACAGTGATTATGACGTTTACAAATGTATTGATTCAATTTGATAGAGTCACTTAAATTGATAAGATCTAAAATGACATCTTCCAAGTATCCTTAATTTTGTTGTCTCAAGGTGAACTATGAAAACATCATGCAAATCAAGAGTTTGTTATTACCTTAATTTAATCAAGAGTTTGTGATTAGTCACAAACTATATAGAGCCTTCATTCACAACACCTATTGGATGGATACCTCCAAGTGAAAACTCGAGTTATGAAGTAAGGCAAAACAACTTTCCTCTCAAAGATGCAGTGTAAATACCATATTTGATCCCAAAGAAAAAGAAAAAAAAGTATTTATCTTTACAATGACTTTTAAGTTATTTATAAAATTTTTATTTTGTCTAAACTAAAGTTTGTTATAACAAAAATTACATGCAATGGAGATAGTAGCTGAATGTCTAAGGAGCTTCCATTGTTCAAGTCACCACTGGTATATGTATATCTAAATATTTTTTTAAACATATGTTTGGACATAAAGCGGTGGATGTTTAGGGATGAGTGTCATATGCACATGTATGAAGCACCGGTGTTAGGGTTCACAAAAACATGAAAGAGACAGTCCTTGTAAGGGGAAATAGTATGCTTTTTGTTTTGGTTTATAAAATGAAACGACAAGAACGAGTCTAAAAGCAAAAGTAAGAATAAAGCCAAGACAGCCCAACAGACGAGGCTACTGATAGATATACACATATTATTATATTACACATCCTCTGCTGTTGGGCAGATAACATGTCCCTTTTGTCTCTTTCTCTTTCTCTTTCTCTTTCTCTATCTCCCACACCACTGTAAAATCTCTCTTTCCCTTTTGTATATATTAACTCTCACACCCATGTCTGCATTTTGAAGAATTTCCTTCCTCCCCTCTTAATCATATATAACATCCTGTCCTAAATATATACACATATGGGTTCAAGAAGGCAAAGGAAGCAAAGATGGTGCAGTCATCAAACGCTAACACCCTTACTGGAAGGACCAGACCCAGACATGCAAGACGAAGGAAACAAGAAGGAGAGTTCATGGGAAGTTATTCGCGAATGGTTTCGTTTGCAGAGAGGATTTTCTGGGAACAATAATAGTATTTCGATCTCTTCTTCATACTCTGCAAATATTGTTCCTGCCAAGACCCATGATTTGAGGCTTTTACTCGGTGTATTAGGCTGCCCGCTAGCCCCCATTCCTTTACCCCATCATCTTCTTCATCATCCTCTCCCCATTAAAGACTTCCCCATTGTAACCAAACTTGAACTTTTGTTAAACCTTTCTGCAAAATGCTTTTGATTATAGTTTAACTAATGTTTTACGTTGATGGTTTTTTCAGGAAACTTCAATGGCACATTACATAATACAGCAGTACTTGGCGGCGACAGGGTGTTTGAAACAAGAGAAGAGTAGAAAGAATATGTATGTTACAGGAGGTGTGAAGATGATTTGCTGTGAAACAGAGATATCTTCGGGGAAGACGGTGAAGAGTTTGGGGACGAGAAGCGGAGAAAACGGCTGCTTCTTGCTGTGGCAAATGGCGCCGGAGATGTGGTCGTTGGAGTTAGTGGTGGGCGGGAATAAAGTGATCGCGGGCAGTGACGGGAAGATTGTTTGGCGACATGCTGCCTGGCTTGGTACTCATGTAGCTAAAGGTCCTAAACGCCCGCTTCGTCGCATTATTCAGGTACTACGCATCTACTGTCGGGGAGTGTAATTATGGAGGGTTATAATTTTGATTGTTAATTATTTTCTAACCCCCCAAAATGATATTTTACTGTTTATATGTAAAGTGGGTGGGGTGTGACGTCACCTTACGTCACGCAACAAGTTGGAATTCTTTTTTATTTTTATTTTTATATTTTTTTATATTTTTATTTTGGTTCTTCTTTTCCAAATAGTCTCAAAAACTCATATTGACTTACTCCCCCCCCAACAAGGGACTAGATCCAAAGACAACAGCAAGTTTATTTGTGAAAGGAGAATGGTTAGGGGAGAAACAAATCGGCGATGAAGAATGCTTCGTGGTGAAAGTAATTGCCGACCGTGAAGCGGTGGTCGAGAGAAGCGAGGGTCCGGCTGAGGTGATCCGACACGTGTTGTACGGCTATTTTGGCCAGAAGAGTGGATTGTTGGTGTATGTAGAGGACTCTCATCTAATAAGAGTACAAAACGGCGACACTTTTGTCTATTGGGAAACTACCATACGCAGTACCATTGGAGACTATAGAGACGTTGATGGAGTTATGATTGGTCACCAAAGGAAGGCAATTGCCACAGTGTTTCGATTCGAACAAGACTCGATGCAACACAGTC